GAATTTGTGTACAGTTTATGGAGCCCCGCTAAAAATGGCCTAGCGACGCCCATGCTTCTTACGGCCATTTCTGAGAACCAGGACAAATATTTCAATCGATCGCTCAGGCATTTAAGTGGCACCGAAATGAGGCACCGAAATCTGCGTTCTGATTCGGTACGAGTACATACCGGTTACATAGGTAATATGTATTGGCCATATTGGCACCGGGTTTCGGTACCCAACCCCTATGCTCAACTGTGCACTACATAAAGCAAACAATTAAGTATACCCCGGCCTTTGCAAAAGTGTTCAGTTTAAGGATCAGTCTGGCCGATGTTACTATGAAAGGACGTTCACTCTTACCTGTGCCGTTGAGAGTACTGTTCTTATTGGTGTATAGCCTGATCATGTGACCAATGGTCCGCACATTGTCTCGTAACATGATACCCTGAGCCTGTACCATGAAGTAATATGTGTTGACTGAAACAGAGAAAGAGAGAGAGAGAGGAGGTGTAATGAATTTCCAAAATGACGTAAAGAGGAAACAAAACAGTATGTAATCAAATATGTAATCACACCAGAAATATGCAAATTTCCACACTGTAAAACAACTGTAACCGGACAGCCAAATTGAAGGCTTTCGTTTTGAATATCTTCCTCTCAAACAAAAGCTATTAAGAGCAGCATTGTGAGAAAATGGCAAATGTTGAAACTACAAGCTCCCATCATTGTAAGCATCAATGGCTGTCTGTGGTTTAGCCTTGGTTCTTGTCAGTGTAATGCGGTTTTAATTTAACTACTACACAAAGGTTGGGTCAGCATTCCTGAGACCAACATTTCTGAGTCCATATACGAGGGGAAATGAACCGAGATCAGCAGAATGTCTATCGCTGAACTCAACTATAGGTATGGATGGAAGTCTGTACCAAGTTTCACATCCTCTGATAGGAAAAACTATATAAGCACATAAATGTAAACTCATGACATTTGTGTACACCAATCTAAATGAGAACATATTTTGGTTACTGCATATAAAGGACAAATTTTACACATATATAATATACATGGGTTACAACAAGGTATAACAACACTAATCTGTTGTTCTCGCCTGTAAATTCTAGTGATAGGCCATACATTAGATGACATTTATATATTTTAACATTATCAGCAGCGGCCAATAACCATAACTAACAATTAACAACAGAAGACAGAAATGCACGTGTAAATGTCCCACCCTCTAATATTTTGCCGTGAATTTTGCAGAAATAGTGTAAAATGAAAACATTATTTGTATCAATGTTCTGCATCTATCACATATAAATTGTATTTTGGTTTTAAATGATAGGCCATACATTAGATGACATTTATATATTTTAACATTATCAGCAGAGGCCAATAACCATAACTAACAATTAACAACAGAAGACAGAAATGCACGTGTAAATGTCCCACCCTCTAATATTTTGCAGTGAATTTTGCAGAAATAGTGTAAAATGAAAACATTATTTGTATCAATGTTCTGCATCGATCACATATAAATTGTATTTTGGTTTTAAATAAAAATTAAACAAATGTATGTGTCAAAAGTGGCCAAAAGTATATGGACATCGAACACTACACCCATTTTTGATTATTTACCATTTAATTTCAAACCCATGAGCATTAATAAGGAGTTTGTCCCCTTTTTGCTGCCATAACAGCAATTCTAAAACCAAAAATTATTGTAATACATAGTCTAGAAATGAAAAAAAAAAAGTTTATTTGGGGGTCATATCTAAAAAAAAACAACAAAAAAAACATTAGCTTCGTTGTGTGGAAACTGTTGTTCTCGCCTGTAAATTCTAGTGATAGGCCATACATTAGATGACATTTATATATTTTAACATTATCAGCAGCGGCCAATAACCATAACTAACAATTAACAACAGAAGACAGAAATGCACGTGTAAATGTCCCACCCTCTAATATTTTGCCGTGAATTTTGCAGAAATAGTGTAAAATGAAAACATTATTTGTATCAATGTTCTGCACCTATCACATATAAATTGTATTTTGGTTTTAAATAAAATTAAACAAATGTATGTGTCAAAAGTGGCCAAAAGTATATGGACATCGAACACTACACCCATTTTTGATTATTTACCATTTAATTTCAAAGCCATGAGCATTAATAAGGAGTTTGTCCCCTTTTTGCTGCCATAACAGCAATTCTAAAACCAAAAATGATTGTAATACATAGTCTAGAAATGAAAAAAAAAAAGTTTATTTGGGGGTCATATCTAAAAAAAACAACAAAAAAAACATTAGCTTCGTTGTGTGGAAACTGCACCACAGCAAGTGGATTCCCAATGCTGATACAAATCTTCAAGCCAGAATATAAACAGCAGCCATTAATGGTAGAAAAAATAACTCAAAGCCTAGGTACAAGAAAAAAAACAACAACAAAAAAACACACACACATTGGTTCTTCCTAACCGCCCAGAGCTCTTCATACATTAGACACAGTCCAGTGAAGGCCGGTCAAACAACGGTGAGGAAAAAACATTACCTTTCTTGGACACTGATTATACAAACACAGCAAGAGCTATTAAACAGGATTTGGCTGTGTGTTGTTGGTGTAGTGGCATGTGTTGGAGGGTTGCCTAGATTTCTAGATAAAGATTTTAGCACAAACACTGAAAGAGAGAGTGATCTGTTTCATGTCCACAAATCAACACAAAACTGTGATTGTTAAGCAGGCTGTGAAATCTCTTATTTCTTCAAAAGTATATAGGGACAACAACAGTCAGGTTGAAAGTTAAATATTACAGCTTGTTTTAAGCAACTTAACATTTGTGTAGACCTTTAGTTAAGCAAGTCACGACAAACTGCAAATGGGTTAAGATACACTTCAGTTGTGAGAGCATCCCAATACAAGAGAGTACACTTTCATGACTGTTTAACACTGTTGAAATGCCAAAATAAATATATTATGTTAAAGTACATTTTACATCATGTCTTAATTTTTTGTCAACATTTGTGCTTTAGTTTGACAGTCAACATGACATAGGCTATCATTTTGCCTGTACTGCGTTATTTGATATTCCATTTAAATTTAATATATTTTAAATGAACTAAATAGCAACTTCATCCTTACAAACGTGTAATTATGAGTATATTTGAGTACATGATATAAAAAAAGACATTGAAGTATGTTTTACGATTACCATAAATGCTTGGTGTGTTCGGTAGAACGCTTTAACTATATTTAAAAGACAGATATGAAAAGCAAAAACAAATGTAAATATGAAACTACATATAAATCTGTAGGCTACTTACGTCCAACCAAAGTTAAACTAACAGCATTTAATAAAAAGTTTAACTATAATAAGTTTTATTTATTAGTAAATAACATGCAATTATGTGCCCAAGAACATCACATTCAGTTCTTAAGTATATTATTTCAGTAATAAAAATTTAAAAGTAGCCTATGCTTTTTCACAAGGGCGTAGATACAGCTAGTGTACTACAGTAAGCACAGTGTTTGTAATAAAAATATTGCAGATATGTTGTAACTTACTTTATTTTTATTAGAATTAGGACACCAGTTATGATATATCAATGCATTTAGGGTGGTATATTTCACACCAAATACTACTTTGCTTTACAGAAACCATATGCTAATAAGCAACCATACACGGTTATAGCCGTGTTTACTATATTCTTCACTGATAAATTTCCGTTATTTTTAAAACTATGGTAAATTAGGCTGAGAGGGAGAAAAGCGTACCATATCATTAAGTTTATGATAGGCCCAGATCCAACAAGAGCTTTACATTAACACAATAACGGCCCATAATTCAATATACCTCAAATACACAAACTTGGACAAAATAGATGTTGGCTAAGGAGGGCGTAAACCTAGCAATAAACCATTTAACGGTGGATTCAGTGGCCAAATCTGATTTAATTGTGGTGGGTTCTAAACACATCGGCTGCGTCCCAAAACCTAGTGAGCCGCCTAACCAGACAGCATTGTTTGTCTTTACAGCATCACAGTATAATGGATGTTTAGTTAGCCAGCTCACTGGGTTTTTAAACACAACCTGTCACTAGTGCATGTTTGAGAGGTGATGATCAGTATTTGGAGTCAGTGATGAATGAAACACGATTAACACGTTTAATCGCATCACTCTAAATGAGACACATGACCGATGCTGGCGAGTTATCAGACGCACTTACCTATTCCGGGAGCCACATAGATGAAGTAGAGGCAGGTCGTGGACATGGAGAAGAAAAAGAGGAAGGCCATTAAGGAGCGGTTGGACAACCGCATCAGCCGCCTCCACTTCCACATTTTATCTCGGCTACTAGCTATCCGTCACTCCCATAAAAACACGCAGATCGGAGAAAAGAGACGCAGTTTGGCGCGGTGAAACGGTCATCCGTGGGAAATGCGGTGCTAAATCAGGGTGCTGGTAAAGTCCGCATCGTTCATTCAGCTGGATGCAAGGCCGCAGTGCTCGCTCGCTCTCTCAACAAAGTCAAGAAATTTCCAGATCAAAAAATAAATAAATAATAAAACGTGCTACATCAAACGGCGTCCGGGCTCGGCGTGCGGTCAACGCGATTCATTTTGTTCGGTGCTGCTGCTGGTATAATGTTCCGGTGTGTTTCTAGTAAGCGCAGACACGCCTCGTCGCGTTGATGATGATGATGTTTGGAAATGATGAAGGGAGTGAAAGTGATGATGATGAGGGACCTGCCCTTCCTCCCTCTTCCCCCTCTCTGGAAAATCCCCCCACGCTCCAGCGATCAGTCCTCCGACACGGCGGCGTGAAAAGGCGCTGGAGCCGCAGAGGACACCGCGGTGACCGGGATGGGAGTGGGAGAGACGAGCGAAACGTGACGGAGCTCGACCGGGATTCCTTCGATTTTGGTTCTGCTGTCGGTGCAGGTGCAGACACCGTTTCCGGTAGGCGTGACCTACAAAATGGCTGCCAGTGAGTGGCGTCATGATGGTTCACGCTTAAGGAATGTTTTCAAAATAAAAGTCTCGACGAGCCACTGAAGTTGCGCAAACGTATCCAACATTAAATAAAAAAATTTAAAAAAACAAGGCTGACAGAAATGCATACAAATATAACTAATTTACAATCTAAGCAAAACATCCACTGACAGAGGTGCTTAAAATATTATATATAAATAATAAGTAATTATATAAAAACAGTATATATAAATAATAAATATTTAATATTTCTACTTTAATTCTTGGCTTATTTTTTAGCATAAATTTGATAAACATGTTTTTGAGAGCCTTGCTATGAAACTATTTTATTCAGTGCTACATCTATTAATAATGTGCAACAAATGCAAGGAAATCAGTAGCGTAAAATATTTGCATTTTCCAACTTTAGACAGTCCTGTCCCTAACAAAACAACCTGCTTATACACAATTCCTTGAAGATTTGTTATTTATTTGTCAAGGTTGTCATAGCTTTTGTAAAGGTATTGTTAAAGCTGGAAAACATTAGATCAAATGCCATTATTTTACTCCCAGCCCTATAGGTCTATACAAATATTCATAATAGTATTAAATAATTTTATTATTATTATTATTATTATTATTATGTAGCCGGAAATAGTACACACACCTCTAAAAAAAATTTAAAATAAACACTACACAACTGCTGTTTGATTCTTCAGTGACCAGTGATGCTTCAGTTTAAGGTGTGATTTATTTCACTGTATTGAACTTTAAGACAAGATAACAACACTAGAGTGCCGTTTCAGTTCAATATGAATATTAATGTACTTGTGCAAACAGTTCATTTGTTTTACAATGTTATGGTATCATGTTAAATTAATTATTTATTTTATGCTAGATACAAGGTTTATAGCAGGTGAAAACAGTGCAGCAGCAGTTAATAAGTGACATGACATCTGACCAAGACACACTATGCTCAGTGACACTTCCGGTTTTCAGATGTGTCAGTGGACAGTGGCATAGACATAATAAATATACTGGTATTTATTATGTCTATGGACAGTGGCATGTGTCACTGAAACCTGTGACATGACAATGGACTGCGTCCTGTGTCACTGACATTGTCGCGGTGCGTGTCGCTGTGGCACCTTCGGTAGTGACTGACACCTGCCGCTGGGTGTCGCTGCATAATGTAGATTGGACACACGTGACACACGCACTTAACGGCAGAACGATATTTAATTAATTAACAGTATGTTGCGGTCAAGCATACGATTTATTACATCGCGGAGTTCATTTGTACAACAAATATTGAGTTCCTATATTAAGAATAAAGTGTCTAATGCCCCTTAATGTGTATTTTTCATTGTAAGTTTATTTCCAGTAACCTGCTTTGAACAATGCATTCAAACACGTAAATACGTTTTTTTTTTTTTTTTTTTTGCATAGATTTGACAGTTCAGCTGTATCATTTGTAATTATAAAATAATATAGAGACTATGCAGAGGCCATAACTAAAAAAATAATAATAATAAATAAACGTTTTAATCAAAAGTGCCACCACTAACTGACACTTGCCTATCAGGAATTACATATAAATATAAACCGTCATGAGAAAATGCCACAAACCATTAAAGTGATGTCTACTATTCTAATGTGCTTTATGAAACTTACACCAACCATTAAGTGTCCCTGACCTTGACACTGTTTTCACAACGCAATGTAATGTAAGTCTGTAATGTAATGTAAGTCTAGATATTAACTATATTAAACAAAGTTTACTTAATATCGTGTCTGCAGAAAGTCGAATGCATTGACATTTACATTTGCCATTTCCAACAGTAGTCTTAATATGTAAATTGAATGCAAATGTTAACGCTTTATAAGTTGCGAAATTAACATGAAAATGTATAACACAAATTGATTTGATATGTGTAACATGTTCAAGCAGAAATGGTAGCATAATTATCATTTAAATGCTATTTGTCCTAAATGCATTTAGACTAACAGTTAGAACACTTAGGATTGCATTTTCATCATGACGCCGTGGGATATATGTAGCAAAATTCAATTTGAGAATGCGTAAATTTATGACCACGCCCACCCTCCGTCAATCATTGCTTCAAGGCAGGGATTGGCGGAAACGTGGTACGTTTGGATCGTTTGAAACA